TGTCCTAGAGTCTCTTTAAGTGGCTGAGCAAACCAGGTCAATCTCCATACATAAAGCCCTCATTTCCCAGATTCATTCTAGGTATACTTAGAACCTCTGCCTAGGGAGACCTCAAGAGTTGTTAGGGTCTACCAGGAATAAATCCAAATGATCTGAGCTAATCTTGCCTCAGGCCAGAACTAGAGATATAACTGTCCTGCTAAAATGAATTTAACATTAGACTCTAGCTGGCTTCCAGATTCTGCATCTTTCATCTTTTATATTTTCCATCTGCTATGGTGTATGTACTACTACTTCTGCTGTTACTACTGCTACTACCACTAGCAATAATAAACAGTCTACATATTTATGGCACTAATTATGTGCCAGACTACTTTAAGAACTTTGCATATATAAGACCCATCTAGTCCTCCTTATACTCCTATGAGGTAGATATTGTTATCATTCCTGGTTTAAAAACTTACCCAAGGGCCGACCCCATGGCGCACTCGGGAGAGTGTGGCGCTGGGAGCGCAGCGACACTTGGGCCACAGGCTCGGATCCTATATAGGAACGGCCGGTGCGTTCACTGGCTGAGCGCAGTGCGGGCGACAACGCACCAAGGGTTGCAACTCCCTTACCGGTCACGAAAAAGACAAATAAATAAATAAATAACTTACCCAAGATCACAGAACTAATGAGAGGAAGTACTGGGATTCAGATCTGGCAATTTGGTTCCAGAGTCCATGCTCTTAGACAGTGTATCATATTTCTTTTGTTTGTGTAATGCAAAGAATATTCCATCGAGACAAGAGACCTGGATTCTAGTCCTGTCTCTGACATTAATCAACTGCGTGATCTAGGGGAAGCTATATAATGAACCAGGTTCAAAGGTACACTTCTAGTTATGCAATAATGTTATAATAAAGTAGTACTTTATTAACAAACTTGACATTACTCACCTAGATGAGTCAGGAGGTTTAAAGCTTTAAAATGAAATATGTCTAAGTGAAGGGAAGAAGGCAAGCAATAATTAAGTTCATTTTCTAAGCACTTTCACTTATTTTCTCATCTTATATTCTATGATGCAAGCATTATGATCCATATTTTATGGAGGAAAACATTGCGATTCAGAGATTAGGTAATTTATCCAAGGTCACATAGATAATCAGGATGGAGAGCAAGCATTTGAATGCAACCAAAGCCCAAGGACTTTCTGCTGTACCATGCTTGCCTGGTGTTGTCTTTCCCTCCTCTCAGCAGCAGTAAGCAGAGCTTTAAATGGTAATATATGCAAGGTACCTAGCACAAAGCCTTTAGAAACAGCACACATACAGTGAATTAATTTGGAAGTGGAGATGGAGAGAGATGAATACCAACTTGAAAGTGGTAAGAGATTGTTACCTAAAACAAAAGTGGATACATTTTTGTGTAATTTCTACAAGGTGGGATGAATACCATTACAAAATGATGAATTTCTGGAGGGAAAGTTTGTATATATTCTATTTCCAGACCACATACATAAGTTCTTGTGGTATTCTGCTGCATGAAATTACTTCCTAACAATAACCCAGAATCATTTTGTTGAAAGGAATCTCCATTTTTCACTAGCATAAATTTCACAAATAATACCAATCAACAAGGAAAGTCTCTTATGTATTGGCTACCTAAAGGAGGTCAGGAAAGTCAGAAACTATTATGGTAACCTAATAAATTCCTCTCTTGGTTTGGAAAAGGAGCTACTCCTTCATTCACTCACTCATCCAACAAATAATAATTGAACACCAAGTATGTATGAGGCATTATTTTAATAACAGATGTATGCTAGGACACTAAAGAGAACATGACATATAAGGTGATTCCAATGAAGTGTGATTGAGCGCTATGACTAAAAGCTATGCAGGGTTCTATTGGAGCATGAATATTATTTATGAGGCATTAGAGGAGTTTCTGAAGCAAGTGACATTTGAGCCATGATTAGAGAGTATGGTGGGTTTAGGAAATTGTAAGCATTAGAATTCAGAGTATACAGAATGGGAGAAAATATTTGCAAATTATACATCTGACAAGGGATTAATATCTAGAATATGCAAAGGTTAGAGCTCAGTGTTGTAACACCAATGTCAAAGGCTTACATCCCAGTACAGGTCAGCCACAAAAAACAAGCAAAAGCAGCAACAGAATATAGAAGGAACTCAAACAACTTAACAGTAAAAAAATCAAATAATCTGATTAAAAAATGTGTAAAGGGGCTGAATAGACATTTCTCAAAGAAGATGTACAAATGGCCAACCAGTACCTTAGAAAATGCTCAACATCATTAAGCATCAGGGAAATGCAAATCAAAACCATACTGAGATATCATCTCACCCCAGTTAGACTGGCTATTATCAAAAAGACAAAGAATAACAAATGCTGGCAAGGATGCAGAGAAAGGGGAATCCTTTTACATTATTGGTGGGACTGTAAATTTTACAGCCATTATGGAAAACAGTATGTAGGCTCCTCAAACAACTACAGATAAAACTACCACACAATCCAGCAATCCAATTACTGTGTATATAACCCAAAGGAACGGAAATCATCATGTTGAAGGGATATCTGCACTCTCAAGTTCATCACAGCTCTTTCTACAATAGTTGAGATACTGAACCAACTTAAATGTCCATCAACAATAACTGGGTAAGGAAAATGTGGTATATCCATATACACAATGGAATACTACTAAGCCATAAAAGAGAATGAAATTTTGCCATTCACAGCAACATGGATGATATTGGAGAAAATTATGTTAAGTGAAATAAGCCAGGCACAGAAAGAGAAATACTGCATGTCCTCATTCATAAGTGGGAGATAATAAAGACAAAGAAGCAACCAAGCATACATACCAGCTCTAAAAGGCTTTATAATTCCCATAAAGAATAGATCTTATTAAATAATCTCAGAACAAATGTCAAATTTTCTATTATTAATTAGAGAATTCTGGTATGCATAAAAAAATGTGATGTTAAATAATGTTCCAAGCACATACCAAATGTATAATGTCAGAGTACTTCAATAATTTTGTGGAAGAATAGAATTAAAAAACAATATGGATCTTTCCATGAACTTTCTGAAGCACTCTCATATAAAACTTTGCACTCACCTGGTACTAGGCCGCTTTTGTAAGGCTTTACCCAGGATAAGAGATGGAGCACTCCTCCTCCTTTCTGCTTTCATTTTCTGTGAGGAAAAAAATATTGAAATGAAGACTACGTAGCTTATGAGGGAAGTAAATGTTTATTTTCAACTCAAATCAACAAATTTTGTATTGCCTGTCTTTACCTAGTAAGGAACCTAAATTTCATTATGGAGATAAACTATAACATCAAAAATGGGATAGTAAGTGTCAAACATGGTATAGGCAGTGTTTCTTATCAGAATAAACAGGTTAAATGTTGATCTGAGTATTTGGGAAAAGTAAGATCATAACCATTATTATTGCTTATCATGTGTCAGGCCCTATGTTAAAGGCTGGACATAGATTATCTCATTTATACCCCAAAATGTCATCAGGGTAGGAACTACTATTCCTATCTCATAGGCAGGACAGGCCCCAAACTGGGCTTCAAGGAAAGACAGGACTTGGAAAGATCCAGTAAAAGAGAAGAAAAAAACTGTTAAAGTGAAGGCATAGAGACTACATTTTTACATGAACATTTCATCAGCCTTTATTTTGTTCTACATTGAAATATTTGCACATTTGGGAATCTCTTCCTCCAAATAGGCTTTTTTTACTATAACATTTTTTTAAAAAAGAAAAACAATCATTTTTTCTCTTCTAGGTGGTATATTAATAGAAGATAAACTGGATAAGTCAGGTACTCTGTTTCCAATGACCTAAAATTTGTGGTGAATGAGGTTTGGATTATCCAGATAATTACTCTCTAAATTCAATCTTAATATCTCTAGATACAGCCAGAGAGCCTGCCACTAGAGACAGATGAGTAAAATTAACAATATAACCACAAATAGCCATGAGTGAAGTTCAGGCTGTGTCACACTAAAGCCATTCTTCCTGCTATACCCTTTCGCCCTATCCCAACCAGAAGTCTCACCCATGCCTGTGGGCCTAGGGCAGTCATGCTTGGGAACCATGATGTGTATTTATTTGGTGCTTTTCTTCTAGAGAAACAGCCCACAGCTGTCAGATTTCCAGAAAAGTCTAATCTCTCCCGACCCTAGTGATTTCAGTAACCGTGTTTATATATGCTAGCTTGCTAGTCTCATCTCACTACTTCTATTAGTCACACCTCTTCGGAACATAACCCTCAGGAATCTAACATCCTGAGGCTAATGTAACTGCACAGGTTGCAGGGAGAAAGGAAATCTGGAAGACAAGTATTTGTTTTGCAGGATATAGCAGCACCTCCCGATGTGAAGCGTCTCAATAATGGAATACTGCATTGATTTTACTAAAAAAAAAAAAGTGGCAGTTTGTTCATATGCATCAAGCTATAGTCTAAATTTTTTGCAGGATTCTGTTTCACCTTCAGACCTTGGCTTGATTCCTACTACCTGTACCATATTGTTACAGCAGTAGTTACACCAATTGTCTGGTTGGGGTTATTGTTCGACTCCTGCCGACATAGGCAATGGTAAAGCTACGTGACAACACCAATTGTGTGGCTAGGCAATTCATAACTAAAGCCAAAACATTTCATTATTTTAGTTACACTAAGTTTCCACTTGTACTGTCAGGGCTAGGGCTCAGACACTTCAAAGCCATTGTACAGACTGGGTCATAGACCCCTCACACACAGGTCCATGCTAGGTAATTGGGAAAGATGCCAGGATCCATTGGCTGTCCTCAGCAGTAGCAGCAGAAGCAGCAGTGGTGGTGGCCTCCAAGGACATACTGGGGACACTGGCAGCAAAAGCTTGCAGCAATGGCCTCCAGCAGCAGTAGCAGCCTCCCCATGGCCACCCCCACCCCCTGGGGGCATCCGTGGATCAGAGCCACTCATCCTTTACACTTAAGTCCATAACCCAGGACACCTGGGTGCATATGAGCAATTACATTAGACAATAACCAAGGAACACCTGGGCACACGCACATATCTACATCAAATGCTCGGCAAGATTCTGAACATTTGAGGGGCTCTGACCACTGATTCCCATTTTTCAGGACCTATTTAGTCCTTTGAAATTTGAAATGTGCCTAATCCTGTGAGCTTTACCTGAGCCCCTTACCCTCTGCTTTGACCTTGAGGGTCTGGCCTAACCTAGTGGGGCTCATTCCAGGATCTATCTCAGCAGCTTTATGTCTGCTTCCTCTACCTTTTGATTTCAGTATCAGATCCAAGATCCTAAACTTTGTTAGTACATGATTTTTAATTCTGAGCTCCTGGCTTTTTCAGATTTATAAAGAATTTGGAAAGAGTTCAAAAGACAGCCATAAAGTGATTTAAAATGTGGAGAAAAGAAAGAGCCTATGAAAAAAGGTAAAATGATCTGAGAGTCTTCACTGGAAACAGTCATAATCCCCAAATTAATAAAGACCTATACTATGAAGATAGTAAGCATCTTCCAAGAAAGACGAGGCAAAAAGAAATGGGGCTGACCTTAGAACAGGAATCCATGTTGATGCTGGATGTGGTGCTTTAAGAAATTAACAAAAGCTGTGAACTAAATTTTTCATACAACTTCAGGGGTTTCAGAAACTCCCAAAAAATAAATTCCTTAGGCATTCATGGACTCCAAATTATGAAACCTTCTGATATAAAGAAATCTCTCTGAAAGTGATAGCTGTTAAACACGAGAACATATAATCAAAGAAGGGTGAAAATTTTTCTTCTGCAAAGGTGCTTTTAAAATAGAAGTTCTGCATATAAACTTAATGTAGATCTTCTACATACACAGTCATTAGACTGTGTTTTCTGAGTTACCAAAACTGTCAGGTGTGTAAGCAGCCAAATGTTGAATGTATCCACCTCCTCCAGATAAATTCATATTGACAAGAATGCAGTCAAACCACAGGCAGAATGTTGTTTTTATGTAAGGTTCTACTGTTTGTATTCAGACTTATTCTACCAGTGATGAGATATAAAACCCAAGGCAATTCAGTCACTTCTCTAGGCCTCCATTTCCTTACCTACAAAATGAGAATATTTGGACTACTTAGTTTCTTAGGTCCTTCTATTTCTGATATTCCACATTAAGCGTCCACCAAAGATTTACCCTGGATATGTAAGAAAAGAAACATTACATGCACCATGCACTTAGGATCCACAAGATTCATTTTTTCTTGTAAGCAATAAAAAATCTTAAGAGCAGCTAATATAATCAGGGCTTAATAAATAGATTTAGGTATTAATTCATTCAAATACACATATCTCTTTCTTTTGTTCAGAAGTGTAGCAGAGCAAATGGCCAATAGTAACTTCAAAACAAATTCACTAATCTATTAAAGAATCTGTTCTCAGGCAATAAAGACTTGAATTTTCTTCTTGATTAAAACAACTGTGTGAAATGCAATACATCGAAATAGAGTGAAACTAGTGATTACTTTACAAATGTATAATAGTACAAACTTATCAGGACAGGTTGAGGTTATGCTTATATTAGCACCAACAAATTTCACAGTTGTTCTGTGACAGGAATAACTATTATTCTTTGCCTTACAGGAAACAGAAGGTAAACTTCAAACAGTGCATATTTTCTTTGTTAGTTTAAAAATCACATAGTGGATGCCATTTTGAACTGAATTATTTTTAA